TNNTNNTAATAAAAAAAAAAAAAACTTTTGAATATTCTTATCAAGGATCCTACACCATATCATAAAAAATAGGACTAAACAAAAATATGTAAGATTTTGAAAATAGCCAGCTACATTTCTTACCAGTGCTCTTCTTTGATGAAGAATTATTTTTAGCCGATGTCTTCTTTGGAGCAGACGACTTCTTCACTAATTCTGGCTTCTTTGTGATTATGTCTTTTTTCTTGTCCGCAGACTTCATTGTTATTGGAATATTTGTTTGTTGTTGGTTTTACGTACTTTCTTTTTATTGGAAAATTTCCTTTTGGTTGATTCTTCTATCTTCTTATCAGGAAACCTTTTTGCGCTTTTTTTCATCTGTCTTTTTATCCAAAGACCTCTCTTTGTGGTAGATTTCTTTATTCTTATCAGAACATTAATTTCTTTGCGCTTGGTTTTTCTTTCTTTGTGCCAAAAGATTTCATTGACGTACCATTCTTCTTATCACTTTTTGAGTGACTTGATGAAGACTTGGCTTGTGCTTTTTTCTGCTCCTTTTCGAGACTGTTATTTAGTGGCAAATTCTATTACGAACAACTCAACATTACACCCTTAAATTGACAATCAGGGAAAATATTCACTCTTATTACATATTAAGATCTGCACATGCAAGGGATCAATAATGATTACTGATGCAGAATAAATATAAGTATTATTATTATTATTATTATTATTATTATTATTATTATTATTATTATTATTATTATTATTATTATTATTAGTAGTAGTAGTAGTAGTAGTAGCTTAGAGAATAAGTTAGGTTTAGTTGGAGGGGTTTATTTAAAGAGTTCTTCTGTTGTGTGACGATTGGTTGATTATTGAATGAAATATGAAGTGATTGTGAGTTTTATTGAGAGAGTATCTCATTTATCTTTCCCACTCGTACGCTTCCCTACATCAGTTGGTATCAGCAGTCAGTACGATTCGCGATGCCGCCGGGACGACAAGATGGCGCAACGAACAACGTGACGCCACCTTCAACGATCGGTTTCAACAGATCGACTACCGATTTGAGCAATTGGACGTGCGTTTCACGGATTGGTTTGCCGATCTTTCGACGGGGATCGAGAATTTGCATTTGACGCTCAACAACATGCTTGTTTCGGAATTGCAAACGAACCGCGATGGAGCTGTAGGCCGTGGCTTTCGCGGGGGAGACAGAGGCAGCTGTGGGGGACGCAGCCATGTCGAGGCGCCCCGGCAGCGGTCCCTGCCATCTCTGAACGGCATCAAGGATGGCGACTGTACCTGGTCAGAGGACAACCCGTTCGTTGGCTGCACGGGGAGGCGCGACGAGGAGACCTTGGCCGATTTCCGATTTCGCAGCCAGCGACAGTCGGAGGAGGGTTTTGGTTACCGAATTTCGCCCAATCGCGCAGCCCTAGATGGCACTTTTCGGCGAACTGCTTCAGGCTTCAGCGAGCATCGTGACTTTCGCAGATGGGGGCCCGATCGCGAGGGCACAGCCTTCACTGGGTCGATCTGCCGCGCTGCCACTGGGACGACGGGTGCGAGGCAGCCGACGACGGCGGCGCATATCGACGGCGAATGGGGACGCCTGCTTTTGACGAGTTGCATTTTTTTCGCTGACAGGAGGAAAACATTCCAGCGTGCTGAGGCGGGTTGGGGTCGCGATGGGCGGCGCATCGCTGAAGACGCCGGCGACTACCATAGTCGCGCTGCCTGGGTGGACGACGAAACCCTAGGAAAATTCCGGCCACGCGGACAACGGAGGCTTGACGGAGGTCGTGAGGTGGCCTGGGCAGTTGACGGTCGACTCGCCGCGGATGGATGGTCCGATGGTCCTGGGCGCAACCGTCGCTGGACCGACGCCGGAATTGCAGAAGTACAGCGTCGGGATTGGAGAGATCGAGAGTATTGCGGCGATGAGCAGAGACGCAGCACGCGGGTTCGTGATTTGTTTCCCAATTTTGGGCCTGCACAAGGACGACCCAATTCCATTTATTGGGACCAGGGGAGGGATGTATTTCGTCCTTATTTTGGGCCTGAGCAGCCACTAACAAGCTTTGACTTCGAATTTAACGATTCCCTGGATTTCGAGCCCGACAATTGTGATATCTACGACGGTCCGCCCATTTTTGATGAGGAGCACCCGGTGACGGATACATCTTTTTGTCGCAATATGGATCCCGCGTGGGACATCGCAATTGTTGAGTCTTCGAATGGGAAGTCTTCATTCACTCCCGATTTTTTGAGTATTTTGGCTAAAGATGGTTTTTGGGAGCCGAAATCGAGGCTTACTAACTGGTTGGCTATTTTCCGACTATCTATCCCGAAGTCTCCCAACAACGAGATGTTTGGCCGTATTTATGGATTTGGGCGCAACGAACGATGTGGTATGTTTCGTATGAAGGACTTGCGCAAGTTTATGGCTACCTTCGGGGATGTGGGGCGACCATCAACATTCGTGTTCGATCGGGGGAAACGTCCGGGCTATTCCTGTCATGGGGACGGCTCCAACGGGAACGTGTCGGATTCGAGGGCGAATCCTGCTCAACCGGGGAGAATGATGCAGAATAAATATAAGTATTATTATTATTATTATTATTATTATTATTATTATTATTATTATTATTAGTAGTAGTAGTAGTAGTAGTAGTAGCTTAGAGAATAAGTTAGGTTTAGTTGGAGGGGTTTATTTAAAGAGTTCTTCTGTTGTGTGACGATTGGTTGATTATTGAATGAAATATGAAGTGATTGTGAGTTTTATTGAGAGAGTATCTCATTTATCTTTCTCACTCGTACGCTACCCTACATCAATTACCAACTAGTATTTGATTCTATGCATTTGCACAGTTATAAAACACGTTTTTGTTTGTATTTATTAATTAGACATGTACTTCTATCATATAAAAATTATTACTTTTTGTTAAGTTATTTTTATCATTCAAAATTAATTGAGATTTAAATTTTATTTTAATCATGTAACGTTTACATTAGTAACATGAATAAAATAATTTATATATTTGTGTCATATATTAAGAAAATTAACATAAATAAAAAAAATCATTGGTGTTTCTGATTCTTAGAAAAAAAAAATGTGTCAATCATATTTTTCTTCCAACAATGCAACCAAATATAGCGGTTACAGCTCTGAATGTGTCAATCAACTTTAAGTTCCAACATTAGCCGTTACACATTTGAATATTTTGCTACCAAATTTTGAATTAATTTAGTAACTGATCCAAAAAATAATATATATATATATATATATATATATATATATATTAAGGTGTAACGGTTTTAGGAGATTAGTGAGTAATTAATTAAAAAAATATAACTCCTTTTGGAGAGAAATGAAAATAAGTTTTATCAAATGTTTTATTAAATGCATCAGCTAGTAATTATATAGATATAGATAGGGGATGCTTGGACATAAAAATTTTTAGTTTTGTTTGAATTTTTTGGTTTGGTTTGGTTATTTTGAAAAATATTGCATGATTAGTTGTTAGTGGGTATATTAAAACAATATTTAAATAAAATAATTAAAGTTGATTTGATATAAAAGTAGGAGAGAGAAAATTTGAAATGATAGTTAGTTAAAATTATGTGAGTTGATAAATAGTGAATTAAAATTGATGTGGTGTGTAAAAGTGATTGATTGATATTATTTAATTAAATTGATAATATTGATGATAGTGCGATTGATTTAAAATTGAGTTAAAAAAAGTGAATAGTTAAGAATGTTTGAAATTTTTTTTTTGAGATGTTTTGTATAGCTTTTTCATATATATTGTTAAATAATACTCCCTCCTATTTTTAATAAATGTTGTTTTGAGAAGTTGCACAGTAATTAAGAATCATTTTTTTGTCAATAATAATCCTCAATAATGAGGATAGAGATAGATGTTTTGAGAAAAGATGAAAAGTGAATATGAAAAGACGTAATATTTATTAGATAGATAGGGGTAATAATGGAAAAATATGTATAAAAGATTCAAAACGACATTTACATTTATTTAGTAAATTGTTGACAAAGTCAAAATGACATTTAAAAAGAATAGGAGGGAGTATATTTTTTTGAGATGTTTTTGTTTTGTATAGCTTTTTCACATGTGTAAGAGAGAAATAAAAGAAAAGAAATAAAAAATATATTATATTATTTCTAGGTTAAGATTTTGCTCTCTTTCCGTCTATTTGCTCCTTTCCATCCAAATATTCATAATTCAGTTCAATAAGTTTTCAATGTTCGGGCATTGATAAAACGTGTATAGCCTGAGGCAGAGTGCGAATCAGCAAGAAGAAATCGATGATCAGAAGCTTCAAATGGAACCATCTCTAGTGCAAACCACTCCTTCAGTTGAAGATGATGATGATGAGTGGGGTATTTTTCTCGCACTTCTTCTTAATCTATGAGTTTTAGTAGATTATTTTTCTTCATTTTCGATTTCATTGCTGTTCTATAACCTAATTGTTGAACTGTTTTGGTGTGTGCTTGTATTTGTTGCTCGGAGTAGGTTGTGTGATTTATGATCTTCAACACTTCTGTTTAATAGGATTGAATCAGTTAATTTTGTCCGTGTCTTAAACTGAAAACTATGGCTTAGTCTCGAAATTGGCATCAGAACGCAAGTTCGATTCTGTGCTTAAATTTTTGTTGCTAAAGCCAGCTGATTTCTTGTAGCTCTACTGTATAAATTCTTTTTAGTATTTCATTTGATTTTTCTATCTTCTGGATCTGAATTAAGTGTTTGCAGTGATGATTTGTATGGAAGCACTTTGAAAATGCTATCTAAAGACACTTACTTTGTAAGGCTTAGTCTGCTGCATAAGTTCGCTCCATGCTTAATTATGTCAAGAAGCTAAAGCAGTGTAATTTTGATGATTTATTAATTTGATTCAGCCAGGTAATGCGTTCTTAAATGTTAATTTGATTGATAACATTCTGAGTCGGAATCAGGGTATTAGTTGATTAAAACTTATACTGCATATGGACCATATTGATTGTGAATCTATTCATATTTATCTTACTTAGATAGCCTGCATATTGATATATAATGAACCAAGAATACGAAATGCCCAACTAATAGATTTCTATAGATAGCATTTTGGGCAATGAATGTAGCCATTCACATGATAAATGAATCTACTGACTCTTAATTTGTTTATAGCAACATGATTATTTTCTTGCTATGTCACTTCTGAGGACAGAGCTGCTTATGTGTGAATTCTGAATCATGGGGTCGGTGGCCACTTTCCTGGACCTTCTCATTATGTCCAGTCAGTATGCTCACAGTGATTTTTTGAGTACTGAATCACATTTGAGACCTTTTTGTATGATCACATATATAAATAATTCACAATTTTAACAGCCTCATTCAGCCATTATAAAAAAAATTTCCGTCTCTATGATGCTTAGCCAACTATTTGACTGGTAAATAACTAAGTGAGTTCTTGGCAAGTTAGTGATAGTGAGCAATGGAAATGGGTTTGTTAATGAAATTGGAGTTTTAATGAGTTTGATACCCCCCATTTTAGGAAGTATGCTTCATTTCCGACAACGGGAAGCATGAATCTACAAACCCATTTTAGGAAGTATGCTTCATTTCCAAAAACAATCATTTGTTTAATTCACATTCCCTCCTATTCTTTGAAAGCCCCCAACCAAGCACCCTAAATATACAATCTTGTTCCTGGTTCAGTTGAACTTGTTTCAAGCTGCGATATTTTTTTTTTTTTTTTTTTTTTNTAATATCCTTTTTTTTTTTAATGTTTTGCCAGACACTGAAGGATTTGTAATTCCAAGCTTGGGAATTGAAGACCCTGACCACAATAAAACCTCTTCTGAAAAAGTAGAAGATTCTATACATTCCAAAGTTGAGGTAATAGAAGAGAATATGTACCCTGTCTAAAATTTTGTGGCTGAAATTGAAATAAATACTTTTGCATCGTGATTTGGCAGGCTGGGAAAGAAGAAAATATATACCTTGGGCCCCACGGAGCTCCTCCATCTCAAGCAAAACAGCAAGAGCTGAACCCTTTGAACCGCAAGCAGAAATTTAAGCAGAAACTTAAGGAAGCCGATAGGCGATATAGTGGGAGCGGGCGGGAAAATAAGGTGGATAATTTAAGAGAGCTTGTTGGAGGTGGAAAAATGGCTGTGACTCCATCTAAAATTTCGTCCAGGGAATGGCTAGACCCGCATTGTCATGAGTCTCAATTTGAGAGAAGGAATCTTCATTAGATTTTCGGAATCTGTGGCGAAACTCATAAACTACTTCACTCATGTTTGGCTCTCTCCTTGCTTCGTGAGTTTGTTACCTCAATAATGTCAAATCTCATTTTATATGTTTAAGGAACTTGAGCTTAAAGTTTGGTGTCTTCTGGTAAGGCAGCAATTGTTCTTCTCTTGGGATAGTGTGCTGCTTTATAGTGTTAGGATTGCACATTAGTTTTATCAAGGTTTTAAAAGGCGCTAGGTAGTGGGATTGGGTCTTGGGCTTAGAGTGCCTAGGCAGGGATTAGTCTAGGCCTATGCATAGTCGTAAAAATATGAATAAATTTATTTATATTTCAAATCATGCATAACTTACAAACTATATTTTATCAAATATGCTAATTAGTATGGTTAAGTATAATTTTTTAAAAAAATATTGTATACTTATAATTATTATATAAATTTAAATGACTATTATCTTTTTATTTTTTAATTATTGTACATTTCATGTAGAAACATCAAAATAACTTTTATAAATTTAAAAAAAAAAAAAAAATGTACGGGTGCTTAGACGGTGCCTAGATTGCTTAGGTTGCCGCCTAGATCGTCTAATCAGTCTAGGCATGACTAACTTCTACATAGGCGGTCCCTAATTGCCCGAGCGCCTAGAAGAGCCGCTTAGATGAAAATTTTTCTACGCTTAGATGAAAATTGGCGCGCTTGGGGGCCGCTTAGGTGGGTGCTTGTCGAACTGTGTGGTTCGTAATTGAACTGTGGAGTTTTTTTATCTATATGTGTGTGTGTGTGTGTTGTATCTACCTGAAATAAAAATTAAAGTTTTGCCTAAAATTTTTAAAATTACTAAATTTGGTAATCTTTTTTGAAAATTTTCAAAAAATTCCACCTTTAAAAACTAATTAATCAATTTTTGGTATAAAGTTGTCAAAATTTATAAGTTCAATTTTGATATAAAGTGGGCAATTTTATTTGTGGTATTTGGTGACCATTTTTATTTTATCATATTTTCATGATGACTTTCCATAAGATAATGATGATAATTCGGCAAATTGGTATGTATTCATCTTGAAAATCAGAAATATCTTTGAACAAGTATTGATTAATAAAATTTAAAATTTATAATTTAATTTTAGAAAATTAATTGATAAATTTGAACAATAAGATAACCGACAACAAATATAGAAAATTCGTAGATAAATTATACATTCATATATGTTTATGAAATATTTATATGTTAACTTATTGTGTAGTCCAAATTTGTATTCCAAATTTAAAAGTTAAATAAGTAATTATTCATAACTTACGGGTCAATATTAACTTGGACGTAAATGGAATAGTTAATTATTAATTTATAGTTTTAATAAATTATTCAACTACTTAAATATTTTTATTTGGATAGGTTATACAAAAATAAACTCATTTTAATTATTAATGAAACAATATAAGTTTTATAATAATACTTATTATTCATTTAAACTTTTAAATATATTATAACATTTTACCAAAATAATTATTTTATAGAATCACATTGTAGTCAAATCGAAATTCTGAATAAAAATTTAAAATGACACTTATTTTGAAACGAATATAATTTAATTTATTATCAGTTACATGCACCGTACGACTGTGTACTAATTTTAAATAGACATGTTCTATGTATTTTGCACAATTTAAATTTCATATAACATTGAAATTTTTAATTTATAATTATTAATGAATATGTCTTATCTATTTATCGCACGAGATTCATACTAGTTAAGTGAGTAAAGTGTTATAAAAAAAAGTTAGTAAAGTGTATTATATTAAAAAAAATTGGGAGAAAAAGAATAGGCAAAAAAATTTATTCCTTATAAATTATGTCCAGAATAGAAAATTATATTGAAACATAATTAATGTCCATAAAAATGGTCATAAATATTCAATTTATTTATGGATAATTCCAAGTCTAATTACTTATGGATTGAAATTAAATTAAAGATTATCCAAACATAAATGACGAAGCATATAATTTTGTCAAATAGGACTCTAAAGTGTGCGAGCCTGTTACATAGACTTAGTACATTGGAGAATTATATATAAATGAGATCGGTTTTGCTATGGAGCCAACAGTTGGCTCCATAGTGGAGCCAACCTTCTATATACATCAAATAAACCTACCATATTATTTCAATTTATTTATGGATAATTCCAAGTCTAATTACTTATGGATTGAAATTAAATTAAAGATTATCCAAACATAAATGACGAAGCATATAATTTTGTCAAATAGGACTCTAAAGTGTGCGAGCCTGTTACATAGACTTAGTACATTGGAGAATTATATATAAATGAGATCGGTTTTGCTATGGAGCCAACAGTTGGCTCCATAGTGGAGCCAACTTTCTATATACATCAAATAAATGATTACCTAAATAACATTAATATAATTTTATGAATATGGTAGGTTTATTTGATGTATATAGAAGGTTGGCTCCACTATGGAGCCAACTGTTGGCTCCATAGCAAAACCGAAAATGAGATTATTATTATTATTATTATTATTGTTGTTGTTGTTGTAGTAGTTAGTATGAGAAAAGCATAAAAGGCGGAATCACGAATTGCACTTGACTGACCCCCAATTAAATCAGGAGGATTGATTACAAAGGGCTTATTTAAGTACATAGAGATGAAGATCTTTTCAGCCATGGAAATCCGTCAGAAGCTTCTTCGAATCAAGTTTCAAATTCTCGTCGCCCTCACTCTCACTCTCTCCGTCATCTTCATCTGCTATCTTGCGCCCAGGTTCGTCGACATTCTCAACTACTTTTGGCCGCTGCTCCTCTCAACGGCACTGTTTCTCGTCGCCCTCTTTGTTCTCGATCGGATTTCGCCGGTTTCGGACAATTCCGGCGAGATGGCCGGAGAGGGTTTATTGGATTACGTCGCCGGCGAGCCGCAGGTTGGGGCAGTAGAGACCATCGTCGAAGCAATCCAGGTAAAAGAAGAGAGCGAGAAAGTCGAGTAGCTTGAATTTCTTTCTTTTTTACTTTCTTTTTTTGTTTTTAACCTGTAGAATATGAATTGTAAAACCTGAGAATAATTGTTTCTTTTCGTTTTCGTTAGCATTTAATATTTTTATTTTTATAAATTATCGGATTTGAAATTGGTGGTATTATTATTATTATTTACAGATAAAGCCAATCAGTGGGTGGTAGGTAAATCCTTATCATGTAACTAATAATCGACCATTATTATATCAAAAGCAAAAAATTACGATCATGTTTTCCTTTTTATTCCAACAATGTCAAAACCGATCTATTTAAATTTAATCCGCTAACATATTGAAATTTATTTCATTGGACGAAATTTATTTAATTTAATCTGCTACCATACTAAAATTTTTATTTGATCTGGGATGTGCCATATTCTGATAAGATATTTAAATGAAATTTTTTTACCAATCAACTATTATTCTCTCAGATAACCCATACTTTTTCCATTTTTGTTCTGACAATTGACAATCAGCAAAGGATTCCTTCATACACAGTATGCAGTATCCTTTTATTTCGTTTGATCATTCAAACTCAGACGAACAATTGTTTGTTTGATTATATTTGGAATTGGCTGGGCCCACAATGTTGACATATTCTGTGGGCTGGTCACAGAACAAATTGATTAATGGGCTGGCAGTGTTGGACCAACATTTCCATCTGATACTGAAAGAAAGTGAAATACATTTGCTTGCTTTCTTAAGCGATAATGTTCCAAATTCCAATTACATCTACACGAAGATGGGCATACTTACAACTAGTTCTGATAACGTTTGAGTTTGGGAACTCAAAATACAAAAATGAAAAACCAAATTATAAAATTGTAATATTCCATATTCTCACTTTCTGCACTTAGCTTTCAACAAAATCCAAAGTTCTCTTTAGAAAAATAAAGTGAATGTGTTTGGATTAGCTATTTATATATACATTTTTAAACGTTAAACCAGGAGAAAAATGCGATGCGTATTGATTCTAATTAAATTATGAAAATACCAAGGATGCAAAACTTGCTATGTTTAACGATCGCCTCCTAGATTTGATTTGATTCNGTGAGCCTCCTAGCCCAAGTTTTACAAGGCTGAACTATTTAAATTTTTTCTTCATTTTCAGCAATCTGGTAATCATTTTTTTCCTTTTACTGATTGCAAAAAGCTCCATAAAATTATTAAGCTTAAAGTCGTTTTGTCGCGTTAGACAGCAATCTTTCGCAGCAGGTAGCTATAGGTCAGGTGCAGCAAAGAACTGATAATGAGCAGAAATAGTTAAAACCATCATCACATTCATTAAATTTAGTGAATTCCACATCAAATTCCCAAGAGCAAGCAAACAACAAACTTTTTGCACAATGAATTTGTTAAGAGCTCAAGAATATGAGAAAACTTTACGGAACTTACACTGGAAACCCACAGAATGATGGTCATGTTTCACCTGATTGGGCGAGCGTCAAGTCACACGTGGACAGAGTTCCAGATTGATCGACATCAAGGTTTTCAAACTCCTCCAGCAAAGGCGTGATATCATCTTGACTGATCTTCCCCATTTCCTTTAGTTTAAATATGATGAATTCAGCGGCCCTATTACACAATTATAACAAGACAACAAAATCAACAACTATATGTTTTAACTACACTATGGCTACTTGGCCTTATTGTCATTCATAATAGAAGTTGAAATAAAGAGCTCATTAGAAGGAAAAAAATGAGGAAATTGTTAGAAGGCACAGTTACAAGATACCCCTTTCGGTTTAGCCTAAATTACACCTGTTTATATGCAGAATTACAAATATCCTTTTATGTTTGTATATACTCAACAAATACACCCCTCTTGAAATGCAAAATTTGCAAAATGAAACAAGCATTGAGAGAAGATTTATAACTTTACAACATAAAGCTAGCCTTTGATATCTTTATAATAAGCCTAAACAAAAGGGATAATTAGAAATTAGTAATTTTCGTAAAACAAACAATAATACCCACCCAACATTTCCATCAGCATCGACATCGGCCGACTCGAGATCCACGTTCGTCATTTTCTTGGTAAGAACATATCTCACCACCTCCTTCTGCCTGCTCTCTGCATTGACCTCAGCCACATAGCACAGAAGCTGCGCCAAGCAAATCGTGCTCGTCAAAATCCAGAAGATCGCAAAAACCCGCCCAGCCTTAGTCGAGAAGCTCTTGTCTCCATAACCCAGAGTCGTGACCGTCGAGCAAACGCAATAGAAAGCATCCACGAAACCCAACTTCTCGACCGTAGATAAAAAAACCGTCCCTGCCACAAAAAGCACCACAAGAATAACCCCAATCACGAAACACTTGTACCGGGCTTTGTTATTTTCGAGCTCAGACATTATATCACTCGGGCCTAGCCTCTGGCGCATGTGAAGGGCCCGAACGACAAGTATCTCCTGCTTCTCGACAAGGTAGTCGGCTCCCTTGCTAAGGGTGAGCCCGATTAAAGCCATACCTGAAAACACAAAAGCACAAGCAAGAAGCTTTGCGGATGGGCTGTTTGGGACGAGATCCCCGTATCCAACAGTCGTCATGGTGACTATGCAAAAGTAAACTGAATCAAGAACGCCGTCGATTTTTTCCCCTTTGATCTGATCCTTGACGAAATAGAAACAAATGGTGCCGGCCGCCAGGTAGAGAATGAGGTAAAGGGATACTCTTTTGAAGCTTGGGTGTATGTGGTCCAAGAAGGAATATCCACGTGGGGGTGTGTGGGGCCCGTCGATTTCTCCCGGGAGGAATTCGGAGAAAGGGGCGCTTCTGCAGCGGCGGAACCTTCTCCTTTTAGGACCGGGTTTCGTGTTAGTTTGGGTTGAGGAATTCAATAGGCCGGCTGTTAAGGACTTTTCACCTTCACCGGCCATTGTATATGAACACCGTTTGTTGGCTCACGTGCAGCTGGAAAACTCGATTTGTTCTGACTGGATGATGGTGATGGTCACTTTTCCAAACTTGGGTGTGAATGCCAATACGACTGTAATAGCAGTTTATGGCAATTCACTTACAGTTGTTGACTATAAAGAAAAACAGAACAGTTGTAATTAGAAATGACTAAGTATTGCAACTTAAGTAGAAGTAGACTATTAAATGTGGTGGGATCATGAGAAAATTAATCTACCCGAATTAAGTTAAATTCAATACCTTTCTCTCTAGTTCTTTTAGAACCCTTTCTCTATATCTGTAATTAAATTCACAAGCGAACAAGTACAATTGGGGACTAACTCAGGACTGTATCAGCATTCAGTATAGACTCTCAGATGGTTATATTTCTGATTCTGGTTGAGGTTTGACTAGTAAGAAAACTTGTTAGTATTTGGAGAAGAAAGTAGTCATCAAACACAATCTCCTTTGGCTAATTCTCGACAGCTGGAAATAATAGCTAGTGTTGCAAGGAATAACTTCTTCCTCAATTCTAATTATACAGTTACTTTAACACACACGCATACACACATTGAGAAATAAAGTTTTGAAGATCTAAAGATATCATATCCAGCTTAACCTCTTCAATATCCCAAATGTCGGACATAAAAATATCCGTCATGGCGAACAGGAGCTCAACACAAACTATAATCGATCAGCATCGATAAGCAGATCAAAATTCAACGAGTTAAAAAATATTCACCGAAAAGAAGAAAAAGGAGAAACATAGGGGATAAAAGAATGATTCGAATACAGAAGCCAAGATCCAGCACAGGTAAGCGGATATTAGTATATATACTTTGCATAATCTAGGTTGCTTGCGACTTACAGAAGGAATGAATTGCAGGATTGAGTTGCGTCTTCTCCAGAAAGTGAGTCCGTCTAATAGGTTCGTTCGGCTTTATGATAGATAATGGAGCACACGGAGATCCTCTGCAGCTGAAGAGTGAATGACTACGGCCTACAGGTTGATTTTGCTGCCAATATTTTATTTTATTTTATTTTATTTTATTTTATTTTATTTTTTGGGCACACACTTAAATAACTAAAAAATTCAAAAGAGTAGAAATGGAGTCAACTAATACTAAGGACCAAAATATCTGGATCTACCCTTTTGGAATTCCAGACGAATCCAAGGGGTATTTGTTACACCCAAAATGTGTCAGTCTGAATTAAGTCTATTAAAACGACCACGTGGACAGTAAGCCTATATCACCACGAAGATTCAGTGTACGACGCCATCACAAGCACTTAAGGGTACATCGACTCTAACAAAGACGCCGTTCTCTATGCCAGCCTCCTTTTTGAGCCATCTCACCACATGTCATAGGCACATCATACCAATGTCACCATGACGTAGAAGGGTTATTTCCTCACATCTAAGTTTTGTTCATGTCGATTTCACTTAATTTGGTGTGAAATGGTTGCCGTCGAGAACTCGTTCACAACGCCAAAAAGATAAGTCACTTAACCAAGTTGCAGGGACACACGACAACTTGTATGTAGCTGACCTTTGTCCAAGACGTGTCTCAAATATAATATATTTTAATTTAATGGTTGCCCCTTCTATAAATGGTGGCGCCCCTAGACATCGAAGAGGACATCAACAAAGAAAATCAAGAATTACAAAAAAAATACACTAGAGATCATCACTACTATTCTAGCTCCAATGGCCTTCAATAGGACTATGTAGAAAAGAGGTCCGTGAGAGCCTAAATCCCTCAATAAACTCCCGATGCGAGCGTATCAATGCAAACACATATTTTGTCGTCTGTCTCGTAGTTTTAGTTCTCTTTCCTAACTTTATTCCCACACTTATCTACCTTAAACTATAATCACAACCCCAATATAACATATTACCGTTTTGTAATCTTATTGGCAAAGACGACCATCAACTAGCTCGCACTGAAGGAAGGGCGGCGTTGACATTTAAACGAACCCTCAACTAAAAAATCACCCAATTTTAAGGGCACATTAAAATTCTTTCTCTCATAAATATTAAGGTTATTCTTCGTTAGTTTCAAGACGTAATTTCTTTACAAAATAAAAAAAAAAATGGATTTCAGACTTTTTTTAAGAGTTGCTTAAGATATTATGTAAGAATGAGGCAAGAAATCGATTAAAATTATTGATCAAAACATAACAAATAATTTCTTTTTGATATTATACATAAAAATAATAAAAAGGGTATTAGTCTTTTTCAAATATAAATATCAACTAAAAAATAATAATATAATATAAATGTAATATAAATATTTAACTAACAATAATTTTCAATAATAAAATATGAATATTTAATACCAATAATAGTGAAAAATATTTTTTTTAAAAAAAAAAATCTATGTAGGTGTCATTATACACAATAATCATTCAATTTTTAAATGAAATTATTCACAAATATATAGATTAAATTATAAAAAATATTCTTAAAATTATTATCAATTATGTAATTTTATGTAAATATTAAAATGAACTAGTTCATAAATTCTAAGATAATTCTTGTAGTTGAGTTCTCGGCTGTTGAGTTTTATGAAAAACGTCAATCGATGTGCACAAACGAATTCATAAGAATTTAATTCTAGTGCAGAAGATCTAAAGTTAGAATTAAGAACTTACGATTTAAAATATATGCCTACTTTGAGATAACTTACTCGATCTACGGGACCAGACGAATGAGATACCTTCGAACCTTTTGTTGTATGACCGATCACCTCTCTGAGTTCGTTTTGGTGGGTGACTCGTTCGATCTCCCAGACGTCATGTTCAATTGATCATGGGGAAGAACATAAAAAAACCAAGTTGTCTTTGGTTTTGATTTCCTAGACTCTCGATTTTTTCCTCACGATAATTCTCTCTTGTGCTCACAGTTTTTGGCCCAAAAATAGCTTGATATTTCTAAATTTTTTCATTAATTGTGCGTGTGATGTACTTAGGGACTTAATGTATCTATAGACTACAATAAAGATCCAAATGAGACGTAAAATAAAGACTCCTCAAGTGTGAACGCAATTGTAGGTCCTCGTCTACCTGCACTATACATACTTGAATAATATTCCATTCCATTAAAAGAATATTATTGAACTTTCCACAATTCAACGCCAAATTATAAATAATTCATATCCAGATTTATTTGCTTGATTTATCACCTCATGTTTAAGATCTAACGTCAGTTGACTAATTTAATTAATGATAATATAATGAATCAACTTCTTTATTCGAGATTAATGTACTCAATTCTTCATTATTATGACGAAATTCAATCCGCCGGTAGAGTTTGACATAATAATCATTCTTGATCTCATTTTAGAGACGCCATCAACCCGGCGCACTCGAACACAATAACTTTAAATAATTTTAACGGCACATCATGTAACCATAATTATTTACCAAAAAACTGTGGCTATCAATTTACAATAGATTTCCCACTTTAGTAAATTAAATAAATAACAACCAAATAAGTATGCTCATTTATTATCATACGGGTAAGAAAACACAATAATAACTGAGGTCTAGATTATTTACTTGGTCAGTATAAGCTAATCTTATCCTCCAAGTCCATTCAATACATCATAAATGTACTAGTATAATGCATTAATCAAATATTAACTTACTAGTACGTGGCCCGTGCGATGCACGGGAAAATAATATTTTCATTGTATTATAAATTAAATAAATAAATAACAATAATCATGATTTACGCATTATTTATAAATTAAACCGGGTTGGACACAGTCCGACCGGCTGGACCGAGAACCGGTTTATAACCGATTTAGTGCGCTTGAATAAAATATTTGCTATCGAATCCGCCAACACCAGTATGTTGGACTGGTAAGATCGATACGATTTTCTAAACAAATTTTGTTACATGAAAAATTATTTTAAATAAAATTACATATTTAAATAAAATAGAAATTTATAAATTGTTTATCAATTAGTTTAAACATTTGAATTTATAAATTGTTTAGATATTTAAGTAACACTTTTTATTTAAATTTATTACAAAAAATATTATGTATTAAAATCCGAACAACCACAAGACGGCCCAATTCTAAAAACCTTATATTTACCGTACATTAATAAAAATGATAATCAAATAAATATTTTGTTCACATAAATAATGATAAAATGATATATAAATATTCATAAATCATTAATCATGTTGTCATAAAAGTATTGTTAATATGATTATTTGAAGTTTGGACTACATCACATTCACGTAATAAAGTATTTTCAATATTAAAATTTATATTTAGGTTCAATAATCAATTTGGTCTGGTCAAACTGATACATAACTTAGTTACCTTGGACCAACCAAGTTGTGTCAAGTTTTTTGACTATTTTAAATATCACCTAAAAGTAATTCAATCAAAGTGGGCAGTACCTTAATTCAATCACCCGATTGATCCAAAGTAATTTCCTTATTTTTCTTTAAATATAATATTTAATTTTATGAAATAAAAATATTTTATGATTCATATGTCTACACCAAATGATAGTATATTAAGATTATAAATTATATATCTAAAGATGAACTATTTATTTTCATTTTATGCATATTAATAAAAAATAAAGATAGTAATTTAAAAAAAAATTAAGATTAATTGATTGGGTATGCAATTTAAAAAATATTTTTAGCGTTCAATATATATATATATATATATATATATTTAACATGATTGAATTTTTGGATTAGAATATATATATTTAAAATAATTTTATCATTAAAAGTCAAAAAGAAAAGATGCCAAAAAGATTACAACTTTGAAAAGTTTGTAACCATTAATTTAGGAACCCTCCGATTTTAAATGATTTATAATTTTTGAAACATGACACGTGCATTTAAAACCCATTAATCTAGGAACTATTCAATTTTTTGATAATGAATTAAAATTAAAATGTAAAAGTTGCTAAAAATAGTATATAATAAATGTGGTTGACTTTTCCTTACTACTATTTATGATAAATGTTAATTCTTATTATATATATATAAATATAGATTCTAAAATTACAATACAACCATTCATGACAGTTAGTTCAATTCTGTCTAGGTTGTGAACCAATAATTTATATTTTACAAGACACCAACAATACGATCTTTCTTTTCGACACATCCAATCATATTATCTACACTATAAAATAAAGAAACCATGTTCGCATAAATAAATAAACTGTAAACATACACTTGACTAAAACGTGAATCCCATTCAAAATGAATTGTTCCTATCACAAAGTCGAGCTTCTATATTATACGATAACATCGACATGCAAGTAAATGTGAAATTCAATAACAAAATTAATTAAGTAGGTGAGTTGATTTTTATAGTGGTCTAAATTTATATTAGCTTATGCTCATTCTAAGCATCTTTAAATAATTTTAAATTTCATAAAATTTGTAAATAACCACCGAAACTATATGAGATGAGCATCATATTTTTGTTACTTATAATTTTGTTTTTATTTAAAATATTATATTATAAATTATTTAAGTATTTGTCAATCATGTTCGGAGTCATACCGTATTTTAGTTGGTTCTTTTTTAACAAAAGGGACACTATAGAAGTGTATATTTGCAGTTAGCGTATAATTAATTTCAAATTATGTACAACTACAATAGAAGCTTTTACAGGTACATAATTAATTTGAAGTAAATGACTATAGAAGCTTTTACAGGTACATAATTAATTTGAAGTTAGCGTATAATTAAATTTAGTTGTAATTATAATTTTTCCATTATAATTTAGAAGTGTTATCTTTAGACTTCCGAAACATCAGCCAACTAAAAAGGGAAACAAATATAATCACTTTGAAGTTCGCCTGATTTTTTGCTTACCAACCTAAACTAAAAAAATTTGATAAAATTCAATCTCAAGTATTAGAAATTTTTTTTTTTTTTTTNGAGATAATAAGCAATTTAGGTTGTGATGGTACTAAAGAGGGAAGAAAACCTTTAAACTGAACAAAATTATTGAACGAGAGT